GCCGGAAGTCGGCCCGCCCCGGTCCCCCGGGAAGGCGTCCGGTCGCGCCGCGCACTCGGGCACTCGCGTTCCCCCGGAAGGAGCGTTCCCTGGGCTTTCGCACCCCGCCCGCCCGGCGCTCCGAGTCTGCGTCGGCGGGCGGCGAGAAGAGGCCCGGGCGGGCTCGCCGCCGTCCCCTCGTCCCTCCAGGGCTCTTCGAGCGAAACTTGGGGGGGCGGGGAGGGGAGTCCAGTCGGTGGCGGTGACCCCGGGCAGCCGCAGGGGTCAGGCCGGGCCGCCGAGCGCGCGCCAGCCGGTCCCCTTGGCGAGCGAGCCACGGTGCGACGGCCTCGAAGGCGCGGGAGCGGAGGACGCTTGAGGGCGCGCTGGGCAGCCCCAGGGCCCGCGACCCCGAGCTGGGCGCCGCGTCACCGGCCACTGGACACTGGCTGACCCCTGCATTGCGCTGCCTCCCCTCCACGCCGACGTTTTCACTCGGGAGTGGGAAAGCGGGGAGGGGGCGCGGGCTGGAGGGGCCCCCCGTCTGCGGGGACCTTTGACGCCGACGCCCTCAGTGGCGGGAGACGCGCGGGGCCGTCCCCCGGGACCTCGCGGCGCCCCGTGTGCTCATCCTCCCTGAGGCACGGTGCGGCACCGGGGGTAGTTTGCCAGTCTGCGGGAGAAACGGGCGCCCGCAGACGGGGGAGCCTGGCGACGCTTCTGGGAGTGGGAGGTCTGGGTGCCCCTCCCGTGGTGGAAGGGAGGGCTTGCTTCCAGGGGGAGTCCTCGGAGAGCAAGGTTTACACTCGTTGAGGAGGGTAGAGAGACGTCTGCTTCCTTGAGGTCTTCTAGAGGCGGGAAACCTCCAGGGCCGCCTGCCCCGTCATTCCGTTTTCCTGAAAGTACCCCGAAAAGCCTAGGAACAGGTCATTGCATCATTAAAGTTTAAAATGTGCCACAAAGGTCCAGACGCACACCCGCGACAGGAAGTTGCCAGGACCAGGTGGGATTGTTACCCTCAAACACCGGAAGCTATTAGAAAATTCCGGGCTGCACAGAGCCCCGAGATGGAAGGAAACAGGTGTCTCTCCCTGCCCGGACAGTAGGTGGCGGCAGAGTCTGGCGGGAAGGACACGGGCTCCTTGCTCTTCAGGTCACTCAGGGACACTTGTTGCGCCACCTGCCCGGACACAGCCTCGCAGAGGCTGGTGACCAGCCAGGAAGAGGAAGGCGATGGCGTTTGCGCTGCGGACAAAACGCTCAGCGCCTCCCGGGGCTGTTTGCATCGTCCCATGAGGTACAGATGGCTGTGCTGCGTCGTCATGCTGGAGTTAGCGGGCAGCCAGCTGGCAAGCGCCGTGTGCCTACTTCGCTTAGCGCCGGGGCAACGGGGAGGGCAGCCGCCAGCCCTTGCCCTCAGAGAGGAGTGCCCGGCGGGGGCCAGCCCAGCCCCGCAAAGCAAAGCGCCAGGGTGGGGCTGACGCAGCACAGACGTGCTGCCTGGGCTTGTGCTTCCGCACTAGACCGCCAGTGGCTAGCAGGAGTGGAGGCACTTTGAAGGTCAGCCATCGCCCAGCGCGGCTGGGGCGGCTCAGCGGCCCCTCAGCCTGGGAGCCGGTGAGCAGCTGCTCTCCCCGTGCTGTGGTACCCACATGGCAGCAGGCACCCCTGGCAGCCCGGCAGCCCAGGCGGAGTCTCTCTTGTGCTCTCCTCCCCGCTTCCCCCCGCAAGCCTGTCGCCAGATTGCCGCTGGATCTCCTCGGAGCTCTTGAATTCTCCACTTCCTCACCCCGAAAGCACACACCATCGCCGTTTCGCATCTCACTGGTCTCCTTTCTCCCGGGGGGCTCCCCTTCGGCCTGCTTTTCCACTCCACGGCCGAAGACCTCTTTGGTGTCCTCGGTGGGTTTTTCTTGCCCGGCGAGACCCTCGTGACCTAGCCCCTTGGCAGTGGCCCGTATGACAGGCCCCTTCTCTTGCTCGCTCCCTGCCTGCAGCCCCCTCTTGGTGATTCCCACGCCCGTGATCCTTAAATAGCCTACAGCTGCCCCCCGAGACTCTGACCTGGCTAGAGGGGTGTACAACAGGGACCAATAAAATCAGTATCCCCTGGGAACTCTCTTAGCAACGTTCCATTCCAGAGCCACTGAAGCAGAATCTGCATCTTAAACAAGATTCCTACACGACTTTCATGACCATTAGAGTCTGAGAAAGCACTGTTTTAGAGAGCCTGGTTGTCCCTTCTGCCTGGCGCACACTCCCCTCCCAGGTTCTGACCTGGCTAGTGCTATCAGTGCTTTCTCAGACGTCACCGCCTCTGGGAAGCCTTCCCTGATTTCCCCCAAACCGTGGGTTCCATGTTAGGTGAGAACCACTGTGCCATGTAATAACACCAGCTGATATTTTTTGGAGTGCTTGCTCTGTGTTTCAGACATTGTACTAAATGCTCATGTAGTCTGAGGTTGGTTTTATTCTTTTATTCATGAAGAAACCAAGTCCAGCAATCTTAACAACTTGTCCCCAGTTAGACAATAGGTAGTGAAGTCAGGATCCACCATGCCATCTGCCGCCCTCGAGACCCGAGCTCACCTGGGTTACTCTGAGTTTACCTCCTGATAACGGTACTGAAGGAGACTCCTTCTGTGTCAGGAACATTGCACGGGATAGAAAACCCATGAGAGTGGGACCATTTCCTGATTGGCAGGTGCCGGCTAAGACCCCCCTCCCCAGTAGCCACTCCGGTGTGTTGAGGAGATACCTCACATTTTATGTGATGCCCACCTGACTGCCCCCACTCCGGCCTGAACAACTGTAGGCATCATTGCAGATGTTCGCGCGGCGTGTTGATGAGAGCCGGGGAGAGAGGCCATTGTCCTACCCCCACCTTGCAGAAGAGAAAATAAGCAGGTGAGTAACTCCTCAGTGATGACCAGCCATCGCCTTCGGTCAGAGTTTCACAGTGGCTGTCAATGGCCTGGAGATGTAAACGAGAAAGGACGCTCATGGGTCAAGGGGACGGCGATGACTTTTCAAGGATGAAACTAAGCAGGGACAGGAACCCACAGGCCACACTTGTGGACCCCAGGGATGGCCAGTCCTTTGTCCTTTGTCACCGCACTAACCTGGCCTGGACTTGCTTTGCTTTCCTCTGTTAAGATTCTCACTTGAGGTGGGGAGCGGACAGCTGTCTTTACCTAAGCAAATGGGGAGCAGCAGGGTCTCAAGTTTCATCATGTGGAGTAGCAAAAGGGAAGTCGGAAAACAACGATGCAATCGCTGGGTCTGGGTCGGATCTTCAGAGGCAGCACCGAGAGCCACGTTCCTTATGCCTGGTCCTGACGTCTCTGTCCCCCGTGACTCCGTTTGTGAAACTAAGGAGAGATCAGAGCCTAGCGTCCTCCCAGAGTGGAAAACCAGGTGGGGGGATTGTTGCCATCGTTCCTGAATAAGCCACCACCCCCACCCCTGCTTGAGCAGCGGGAGCTGGAGCAGGCGAGGTGGAGCGGCCGGAGCAGCGGGCTGGCCTGGCCGGGCTTCCTGCAGCCGGGGCCTGTCCCGGCGGCCTCCTGGCGGCCGAGCTGGGTTCCCACCAGTAGCGTAACTCCTAAGAGGCAGGCAGAACCAACGTTCACGACCTCCGTGTGGATGTTGCTTGAGGTCACTGCCAGCGTCCTGCTGATCTTAGTCCCCAAGCCCACTTGGCTTCAAGAGGCCCAGGCTGGGGTCCCCCCTCAACAGGAGCGGCCTCAAAGAGCACGTGTTCCTGGACATAAGCCGTGCGCTTGCCGGGGATGGCCGACACACGTGAACTCAGCTTCCTGTAGACACACCAGCAGCTGGCAAGAGAAATGAAAAGAATATTGGGGAAGCCAGCACACTTTTTGGCTAAGTGCTTTTCTGCTCATAGCCATAATGACATGAACTAAGAATCTGCAATTACATATAATTGGATATAATTAAAATAAAGAGATGTCTAAAATAAAGGCGTAATTAAGAAGTAGGAAAATTAAGTAGGTGGGAATGTCAACAATGCTAATTCAGAGATGGCTGTGGGTTTATTTTATTGTCGCTGAACCGAAATCGGGTTAGCTGGAAGCGAGCCTGAAGCTCGCCTAGAAAGCCGGGGCCGAGCAAGACCCAGACGGAAGCAAAGACAAGAGGACAGCCCAGTGTCTGGGGGGCGGGAAGGTGGCTGAGCCCCGGGCAGGAGAAAGCAGGACCTCACACGCTTGGGGGTGCAGTGCGGACAGTTGGTGCCAGTGTTGAGCTGGTCCTGATCCTCTTGGGTGGGATGAGGCTAGTTGGTTACATAGGAAGAACAAGTGGAAACACTTAAAGATGAAGTAACAGGTGTCTGCAGATTACTTTCAAGTGTGGAGAGAGAGCGAACACAAGAGAGAGACCTGACCAGTGGTTGGCTGGGAAGTGCGTGAAACGTTTAAGAAGTGTACTGCACCGTTCTTTCAGCTTTTCAGTCGAAGTTTTTTCAAAATTTGGAAAAAATCAAAATGAAAAAGACCAGATTTTCACAAGTTGCAATGCGATAGGGA